GGGAAGGTGAGTGGCCCGCCCGTCCCGAAGGAGGGTGGGGGGAGGCAGGCTTCGCTGCGGTGACTCGGGGCCGGGCCGGTGGCGGAGGCAGAGTTTGGGGAGAGGGGGCAGGCTTCCCTGCGAGGGGCCCGAGAGGGGGAGACCCACCACGGCTTGGTGCCTGTGGCCGGGGCAGGGCTGGCTGCTGCCGCAAGTGGTGCATGAGAGGGCCCGGGGCAGCAGAGCTGGAGTGCAGCGCTGGCTGTGTAACAAACCTTTAGTCAGGCGCCGGGAGAGGAACCTGGTTTAAGAAGTCTGTGCTCGGGCTGCAGTCAGATTCCTTGCGCTTAACTGTGGCTCTGAAATCATGCCCTGCTGTCAGGTCATAGATGTGTAAGAGCGGTAGCATTAAGATTTTTGCAGAGCCGTTAAGTTTTTTGATGTCTCTAAATCTAGATGGTCACCAGGACAGAGGGTCAAATTGATGACTCTCTAATTGGTGGCAATGCCTCTGCTGAAGGTCCTGAGGGAGATGGAACAGAAGCCACGGTCATAACTGGTGTTGATATAGTAATAAACCACCACCTTCAGGAAACCAGCTTTACAAAAGAATCCTACAAGAAGTACATCAAGGACTACATGAAAGCGTAAGTGTTGGTCGGCTTTGTCTTTAAATGGGATGGCGAAATTGTTAGGTCGCTGAGATTTTTAAAAATGGTGTTGAACCTTGTTCCTAGTAGGTGTTAGTTCTGATACAGGTGCCAAACTGGCTGTGAACTTTGATAATGTCTTAATACTTGGCAAAACTGGAGCTCTAAAGAATTGATACTAGAATATCTAAGTTTATCTTGGCTGAGGTAGAGGACCTGATCATGTGCTTTGGATATTATTTGTAACCTTGCTGTTTTCTTTCTGATTCCTCTATGCCAAACCTTCACGGGGAAGGGGGTGGTGTGGTAAAGAAAGCTTCAGGAAGCTTTTCAAACTTGACAATTTAAATGTCCAATTGTAATGTGTGTGAATGGAAATTTTTGCTAATTCAAGGTATAATTCATGTTGCTCAGTGTTTAGTGGGTTAGCATTAAAGGTGAAAACACTTTCTCTGTGATACTGATGGATAGTAGTCTTGATGCTGTGGAAATGGCTTGCTAATTTTTGTCTACCGCTGGCCTGGAAGTATAATGAGCTTGATATGAGTGGCAGGCACTGTTCTGCTAATTCACTAGCAATATTAAGTTAAAACTTGGGGGCTTTGAGAGGGAGAGGGGGAAAAGCAGCAAAATCAAACAGTTTGACTGCCAGTAACTCTTTCTGCTGTGATGTGATGCTGTACAGTGAAGTTATTAGGCTAGAACACGTTTTCAGAGCTTTTTTCCCCTTCCAGAATCAAAGCCAGACTTGAGGAACACAAGCCAGAGAGAGTAAAGCCTTTCATGACAGGGGCTGCAGAACAAATCAAACACATCCTTGCTAACTTCAAAAACTACCAGGTAATGAAACTTACGTCTCCTTACAGCAGTATTGCAGTGATACAAGCTGCAATTGGTTCATCTGCTGAACTAGCTTGTGGAGGGTTTTGAGGGCTCCTGTTGTGAGGATGTCTAGCTTACCCTTCTCTGAGAGTTTTAGGGGCTCTGAGAGTCAGGAAGGAGAAACAGTGAAAGGCTCTTAGGTGTTTGGGGATTTCATTTCAGCCTGCAACACTTGTCTTTAACTCTGTGGTTCCTAAATGGTGATAACTACTTGAAAGATGGATCACACTGGCCCCTGCTGTGTCTTACTCTGCTGTTCACAGCAGTGTGGTAAAGTTATGTCGTACTAAAATGGACAAGCTGCAGAAAGCAAAATCCCTGCAGCTGGTCAGGGAGACCTTTAAACGGAACTAGTAGATGTTATGGCTTTCTTGTATAAAAGGCACTTTGCCCTGGTAGTAGCTCATTAAGTCTCAGTAACACATTTCTCTGAAGTTCTTTGTAGGAGAGAACATGAATCCAGATGGTATGGTGGCTCTCCTGGATTTCCGTGAGGATGGTGTGACCCCATATATGATTTTCTTTAAGGACGGCTTAGAAATTGAGAAATGTGTAAGTACTGACCTGAATAGGATGAATGTGCCTAACTACATGATTAGCTCTTTCAGTGTATCACTTGTTCTGTCGTATCCCTGTTGAGCAGTAACTGCTAGTTTAAAGTTCATGTAAGTACGGCTAACTGCTGCTTCGTATTATACAAAGTGGCTGAAACTTCCCTTGTATACTATTGAATCATACTCCAAGGGGACGTAGTTTCACTGCAATGATTCATTGTGACTTAATGGCTAAGAAATGCAGAAGGAGTTGCCTTGGTGAGACGTGAGTAATTGGTAATGGCTTTAAACTATTCGATCACAGACAACGTCCTCTGAAATGGAGCACTTCTACTTTGGATCCCTCTTGCAGGGGTTAATTCTGAAGTACCTTACATGGTCACGTTTCATCTTCTTTCACTTAATCTGATGCCCTTATTTTGTTAGGCAAGAACCATCTGTTTGAATATTGCCCTAAATTTGGGAACACGATAATACTTGACTGAGTGCTTAACCTTATTCTATCTGGAATCTCCAACTGCCTGAGCTCAGGCAGCTCCTGTGGTCTGCTTTCTCTTTAGTT